TCTGAACGTATGGTGTCCTCCCAGATGTGTCAACACCAGGCATTTGTGAATGGACTGTACACATAGAATGCCGCCCGCCACGTGCAATTCCGCATTCAAAAGCTGCCAACGCTAGCTTCTGCTAGCTTCACTTTCTCAAGCTGTTTGTTCCAAAGTTTGTCCTTTGGAAACTTGTCAACGTAGCATTGCAAAATCTTCTTGATCACACGAATGAGGGCTTCAGATTCACTCCGAAGTGTTCTTCCTCCCCAAGTCATGCTGAGCCCTTCGTGACAACCTGGAAAGTATCCCTGCCATGATCGGGATGTACTATGGTAAGAAATCAGAACTCCTGGCATGCACGGGAGCTCCGTGAGTCCGCGATCTGACAGTTTCTTGAATGCTTCACGGTGGAAGAATGACTTGACTCTGGTGTGCATGGTGGTCACTGTCTCTTTGACCATGTCCTCATCACTGGTGTCAGCCAGCACTTCTACACCTGTGTCTTCCTCCTGGAAACGGTCCATTTCCAGCAAGGCGTCCTGCTCATCCTGGAAACCATCCACACCCTGTACGTCAGCTTGGTCCTCAATGTCAGCCTCATCCTCAGAGCCCTCCAGCTGTTCAACCTCCATCGCTTGGCGGAGATCTGCTTCATGGGGCTTCTGATCCAAAAAGACCGGTACACAGCCATTTTCGGAAGGAGCTCCTTTTATCAGAATCAGCCTTCGTGCGTCTCCGTTGGACGCCTTCAGCTGCAGTTCGTGAGGCTCCATGGAAAATGCCACATGCACTGAGAAGAGCTCCCGTTCCATCTTAGAGAGCTCCATGTTGCTGCGGATGGAATGGACCTGCGCTTGCTTTTTTCTGGAGAACAGCATGTTGCACGATGCACGCTCCCGGTTCCACTTGTCAAAGCCCTTTTGCATGGTCGGGGTCAAGTTCTTGCCCAGGATCATTCTAGCATCAATTTTCTGCATCCAAGAGTTGTGTTCGTCAACCCACTTGCTGATGCTCCGTTCGATCGGCTGGGCCATCCACGGTGGCAGGGCCTGTCGGGTATGGACATCATCTCCGGACTGAACAACCCATTGCAGCGGTTCTTCACCCTCAAGTGGCAAGCTCCTCAAACGCTGGAGGTCGGCAATTTCATATTATGATACTGCATGGAAGAGGAACATTAACAATTTTGCTCCCACATCTGCTTTTTGGCACTGCAAACACCAAATAACTGTTTCCTGGAGGAGGCCGAGACTTCAATTTCTCGGACAGTTCCATGGCTCTGCGACCGATGAGTTCACAGCAACAATAAGGTTTCCTGGCATACCACACATTGTAGTGCCTCTTTTGCTCAGCTAGAATGAGTGCTGATCTCACTTCAGTCTTCATGCACTTGAGACTGGATCCGACGTCGTGCAAGCATCATCAAAGAACTTCATCCTAGTTCTCCCACTTTGGAAGTCACATGCATTCCATGTGTTCAAATCCTGTAGAATAAGGTGGAACATTGTGGAAACATAAAGCAGTTTTGCATGTTGCCTTGCTTAACCCGGATGCCTGGGGGGTGCAAGCATTCTATGTGTTCAGAACCTGCAAACTAAGAGGTAAAATAAAGCACCTTGATGAAATCCGAAGTAAATCCAGTAGGCATTCTAAGTGTGCATCTGTAACCGGAACTTGGAATGCTCACTTTTGCTACTCCACCTGTGTGTTTTGGCCGTCGTTGCGATTCCCAAAACGGCATTCTAAGTTTCAGTCCGTCACTATAGACCCTTTCCGAGACACGACCGCCATCTGGGACTGCCAGGACGGACTGCCGATCAGTTGACCGCGACTTCAACCACCCCTGGCCTTTTCTCGGCAGTCCTATGGCAGTCCCATGGAGTGTCTGGGTTTGTTTCAAAAAGTTTTTGTATAGATTACGGTGTTTGATCACAAGTTTCTGACATCTATCCTGACATGTCTGGCATATGTTCCTGCCAAGGCGAACCTGAAGAAGGTGTTCCATTTTCCAGATACCAAACAGGTGGTGTTCATTCCACAAATTGTAAGCGACAGAGTCCCTAGGCATCCCACAAGCATTGCTTTGATAGTCTTTACGGAACAACCAGGGAACGTGCTTTACTAAGGATTTTACAGTACAAAACCAGGTTGAGTCAATCATTTGAAAGTATATCAGCTGCTTCCGTTCGGGGTCACCAATGGACATCTCCACACTACTTAAACAGGTTTTTTAGACAGGGCACCCCGACAGGAAGCGCTAGGTAGTGTTGGAAGTCAACGAACAACAGGGAGTCTCAACTTCTCACATGAGCAATGACTTCCCGCGAAAGCACCGTGGATCCACTGGAATGGACATCATTCATGCGTTTGGGGGTGATCATCTGGCAAAATCAGAGTGATTCTCTTGAAAGCTCAAGCAAGAGTTGTTGGTTTCCCCAACCTAGTTCTGAGGAGCTGGTGCTTGTGTTTTGCACGTGTTTGGCAACACCCACTTCCACGATGTTTCCGCGCTAGTTCGACCCAGCCTGCAGGCTCCTGCCAAAAGTCAGAAGTCAAGTGAATGCGCATGGTCAGCCGCGTGTAGGGATCCACACAACTACTACCTTAAGTTCCACATCTTCTTCCTAGAAGCCCAAGTCGACGATATTTGGCTCAATTCCAAAAATGGATCACCCAGAACGCTCCATGGGACTACCATAGGACTGCCGACAAAAGGCCAGGGGTGGTGCCAGGGGGGTCTTTCTGGGGCGGCAGTCCTATTCCAGTCCCATGGAGTGCATTGGGTCATAGATGGGAAAGAAACAGCCCTAAAGAAGTCGAGTTCGAGGGATCTTTGCCACGAAGAGAAGCTTCAGGACTTCCGGCTTTGACTCGGGAACTTCTCTCTATTTCCCTAGGGCTCCTGTCCCATCTCCTCAGGTTCGGTGGTTAGACCCCCCTGGCACCCACCATAACCATCTTCTCAGGAGGTAGGCCAGGAGCTCGTCGACAGGTCGATGGGTCGAATCAAAAACCCGAGGAGGAAGCTTTCTGAAGTCTCACCCTAGAGGCAGCCAGAGGTGAAGGCTTATCCTCGCCTATTCTTTAGAGGCCTTGGAGAGAAGCCATGTTTCGCAGTCACGAGACCGATGGGGTTCCGGTCCCGGTCCCGGATGGTGCCTCGAACGTCACATCCACGAGCCCTGAAGGAAGGGACGAGACTAAAAACCACCCCGTCGAACGTGACTCCTGACAGACTCTTCTCCATTCTCCTGACACTACGGGCTCATAGCAAGACCACAGGCTGAAAAAGACGGAACATCTGGAGTTGCAACTTTCCCTTCTGCGCACATGAATTGCAGAAAAAAACAAAACACCCAAATGTTCTTGTGGATGATAGAAGCACTTCCTCTTTCTGGACCCCCAAAGATTGTGGAAAAAAGGAACCAGAAAGGAACATCAACCAGCAGTTCGTCGGGGTGCCTCTTCAAGGGAGGGGCTGGGTGCCCTCAACGTCACATCCATGGCCCCTGGATGGGACTAAAAAACATTCCGACCTGGAACTGCTGGTTTATGCAACAATTTCATACCTAGGCCCCCGAACCATAGGGTGTCTAACAATAGCTCTTCCTAGAGGTATCCAGGGGTGTCCATTCACCAATTTCCCATCGAGAGCTGTTGTCAACCTCTTTTACGTCCGCCGACGGCTCTCCAAGCGCACTGGATGCACCCGTGGCCTCGCGAGCGACTCACTGTTGATCTGGTGACTGTCCAGAGGCGACCCGGAACCCAAAGCCTTTGCAGAAATTGGTCCAGCGGTTCTCTCATGTTCTCACCCAATTTGAGACAAGATCATTTGAGACAAGTGGCTGGGTGGATGAAAATTGAGGCCACAAGCACGAAGGGATGGCTACCGTCACCAGAACCCCTGCACTTTCCATGTGACACTGTGCCTTCCCCACGAGTTTGCCAAGGTGATCAAGAAGGGCTGGCTTTGGCAAATCTTGAGCCCTCCCCTCTGGAAGTGCTCCGACTTGTAATGTCGAAACGCAATAAGGGGTCAAGAGATGGATGAAGGTGTATCAATCAAAGCATCTCTGGATGACGGCACGAGTCTAGCTGATTCAAGCATGGACGCGATACTCACCAGTGAGGCCCAAACAATGGCCTCAGCCTCAACACTTTGGTCTGCTATAGAGTATACCCCAGACACTCCATGTATGCCATAAATATGCCGCCCCATTGACCCCTCAGACACCACCCCAACTGATCGGCATATGGCAGTCCCATGGAGCGTCTGGGTACTGTATCTGTGCCAGAAATACGGTCGCGCGAACCATTTCGCAAGGTTCCAACACGTGGGCCGCTTCCGCACGCGAACTGCCGTCGGAGGCTCCAAAGGATCCGATCGTTCTTGGCCACTTGGTCAATCATTAACGTAACTTAGACTTGCCAAGACTATGCCAAAAATGATTGACCTGGTGGTGTAGAGTAAAAACGTGTAAAAACCCTGATAGTAAAACAATGGTTGCTTGGTATAATGGTGGTTGGAATTCTAGGGAAAATGACATATAGCTTGTATACGAGCACCTCACTGCCAGATCACCAATTGAGACCTGTTGTAACGCCCAAGAACCCTATACAACAGAGGAGACCTGTTGGAGGATGCTGGCAGCAGACTGTTGGCTCTCAGAACGCTTCCAGTTTTCCGGGGTGACTATCTCTGGAATCCAAGGAGGAGCCGCCTCCCTCCACCGCGTTTCACGCGCGAAAGTCAGGCGACGAACGCGTCGGGTTTTGGCGTGGCAGGGGCAACCCACCAGAAAGTTCGCAAGCAACCAGAGTCGACATTGGGAGAAGTCTCCCAAGTCTTCCGCACCCCCACAGAATTGCCATGTTAAGCTCGCTGATATAGGGGCATAGAGTGCTGGTCCACAGAAGTTAGATCAGTAGGTCTACCAAATATATCACTGTCGCCAATTGAGACTTCTATTCCCCTTTTTGCCGCTGAAGTGAAACACCAAGCCTCCAACTCGGCTTCGAGGGCATTCAACCAGGCTCTCCTGGGTTGAGCAGTTGGGGTTTTCAGCCAACACCTCGCAATTGGTCTACCAATGGCCCAACTACCCACTTCGAGTTATAGACGAGGTCAGTCGGAGGTGTCCATGAACCACCCAACTCTGGTCATTGAACCATTTCAAAAGTTGCCTGCATCGGCGTGGTTCATATCCCTTTGGGTTGGAGGCCATTGCTATTAGGCTGGAGGCCATCCTCAGGTTCGGTACCACTAGACTCGACCCTAGACCACATACAGATCTGTGTCGAACACATCACCGTACCAAAAAGAGGGTGGATCAGTGGATTCAATCAGGCCCTATAGGGTATGCCATCTACCAGGACCCGAACAAGTGAACTCGGACAAGTGCGCGCCTGAACTTCAAGAGGTGAACTGAAGGGGTGTCCCAAAAAGCACCGGGTCCCGACCCTATAGGAAGTGTATGGCCTGTGAGTCCTGAGAAAGTTCCGTAAAAGACTTCTGGTCTTAACTCCACTTGCAACAAAAATCTCTCCCAAACACTCCATGCATGGGTATATATTTACCAACATTCACCCGGGTCAACATCCCATATACATGGAGTGTGTGGGTATTACTTGCCTAGTACGGTGATGAATTGAGCTGTCGGCATCGAACCTACGGATGTCTGACCCAGTAAAACCAGGTTTCTTACCGTTGAGTACAGTAATTAGATTGTATGTCGATTTGTTGCTTCATGAGCAACTCCAATAAACTGAGGTCCAACTGACCAGTCAGGTGCACACATGGCATCCATCTCTGCCAGCTTTGGGGTGCCGCCCCCATCGACCGCTTCTTGCAAGACCAGCGTCGTGTCCTCCGGCGCCCGCGGCCGCGCCAGAGCCCGGAGCCTGCCGATGAGCTCGGGAGCTCGAGGGAAGCGACTTCCGAGGTCCTAGGGCTCCAACAAGTAGCAAGACGCTATAGCAGTAGCGCGAAGCTACAATCCCTAGGGCTCCAACCACCTCCTGAGAAGATGGTTTGGGGTGGGTGCCACGGGGGTCTAACCACCTTCTGAGGATATGGTTGGAGCCCTAGGGAATACTAGTAACAAAAATGTTGCAATGCTACTAGCAGTATAGTTACTAGTGGCGATGCACCATGTCGTGCTCTTGAGCTGAGAAGGTGGGTAGTTAGGGTGGGTGCCAGGGGGGTCGAAGACCACCGAACCTGAGGATATTGGCCAGGAGCCTCTGACTGGTGTAAAAAAAGCATACCCAGACTCCATGTATGTATACCCAGACACTCCAGTACATTGGGGTGGTTGACCAGGGGATGGAAGGTATATATACCGGGACGTCATAATATCTCCTAAGCTTATCTAAGCTTCGGGGAGGAGGGATTGGAGAGGATCGGCTGGGAGAGTGACATGGTGAGCGATGGAAGACCATGGAACGTCGGCCCGTTCGTACCTGGGAATATGAGTACATGGCAGCTCCTGCGTTTCTTTTGTAGGGTCATGTCCCAATCTTCGCAGCTGCGAGCTGGAGGTAAAGTCTAAAGATCACTATCTTTGGCATCCCCGAAGTAAGGAATTGCCAATTCCGGTCATCTAAAACCGATTGAACAACAGTCATGGACTCCCACGGCACATATACATATTACAGAACATGAGTGACACCTGTTTAAATTTTGGATCACCAACCACTCCAAAGAGGGTACGTATTTGTTCTATCAAAACAGGTGTCAAGTGGGTTCTCAGTAATGTATATATTCATACTTTGTTCGTGTATTGTTGACAAGCCTCATTCCTTACTAAGCTTCAGTCTGAAATTGACGGTGTTCCATCTTGATTCCATCGAAGCATTGCGGCAAAGGGTCCAGGTGGGAAGGCTATTTGTTGGGTCATGGCCACCCAGTTACAGTGGAGAAAGGAATACTACGGTGCTCATGATGCTTCATGTCCTGCCCATCCCCAACAGCACAAAACCCTGGGAGTCAAAGACCATTAAAACAATGGTTGACCTGGTTTTTGTATTGTAAAATCCTTAGTTGATTGGGTAAAGCCTATTAAATTAATGGTTGTTGGAAGCCTAGGGTATATACACTCCATGGGACTGGCATATGCTCCATACATTCACCCCGACTTCAAGCAACCACCCGATGGCCTGATCGGGATTGCCCAGTCCTATGGACCTCCTGTCTGGGGGCGTTCCGGAACCCGAACCTATGCCCAGACGACAGCACAAAAGTTGTTTTTTCACGCAAAAAGGGGTACCTGGACCCGACCGACCCAGTCTGACCCCGAACAAAAACAGGATCAAACAGGTGCGACGGTACCCATTGAACCCGAGGTACGAGTTCCGGGTCGACTCCAGGTATACACATGATTCGGATGTAAGAACTGTCCGAGCCGCCATTTTCTGAGCGAACCGCAGTTGCTTCCATACCCAGTGTCCAAGAGCGTAAGGACGTGCCAAGTGCAATTGCAGCCATGTCCCCTGAACAAGGCAACACAGGTCTGCCAAACATGTGACGTCGTAATACACTTCACATCACAAAGCTTTCAAGACATGTCCAGGGTTGCTGCACACACCTTCGAAGAAAGGACACAACGAACGCGCTCCCCAAATGGTGACATTGGTTGGGGAGATCTGAAGATGGAGCCCTGGTGAGCTGCCCACGTCTGGTGCCCTTCAAACACCATAAAGAATAAAAATCAATAAAAATCCTCATCCATCCGAATTCGATGGCATCTGCCAGTTGTGACGATCCTATCAAGTCCTCTTCCAGGATCGAGAACAAAGAAATGCAAGTCGCTTTGGGCCAGCACAAAAAACACATCTGGATGAACAATCCGACACGACCGATGGGACTGGCAGCAGCTACAAGCTACTTTTTGGTTGATTGCAGGGGGTCAATGTACATGCCAGTGCCATGGGTAGTGTCTGGGAATGGATGAATGTTTTGTGAATGTCTTGTTTTGCCAACAAAACAGTTCTCGTATCAGTCATGGCCCATCATAAAAGGGTCGCCTGTCAGTTCCTGCGATTGCGAGCAGACGATGGCCTGACCGCAGTGTGCCTAAACAAAGAACATTTGCAGAAGGCAAGTGCAGGCAAGGGATGTATGCAAATCAGTGCGCTTTACACCATGGCAGCTTCCCTCAAACTCCCAAGATGTTTCTTGGGCCCCTGGCCACTTGCCCCTGATTCATCAACTCTCCATGTTCTTAAACACATGTTTGGAAGAAATGGCCAGAACCAATCTCAGTATTTCTCAGTCCATGAAGGAATGCCTGCATGTATAGAGTGTATAATGTTTCACCAGTGTGTATTATAGAATAGAATAGAATATAGTCTAATACACAATACATAATATGATATAAATTGATATAAATTGCAATATATATATATGGATCGGTCTCTGGGCAAAACATGAATCCACCAGACCTCAATTGGGTCTGCTTTTTTGACCCCCAAATAGATAGAAAAGTACAATCTTGTTCAAAAGGTCTTGGAAATCGTGCCACTATCTATTTGGATCTATTTGGGGACCACTATAACTTCTGGAAAGCCATGTTTCTTCATCATAAAGAAATTGTTTCAGCTCTCAATTAGTGCTATGAGCACCTCTTGAAAGCCTGGTGACAACACCTCAGCCACAGGGACTTTGCCCGACCCCATGGGAATCATGCGCTTCCGGAAGAATTGTGCCAAGCCCTTCTTCTTCACATAGTCAAACGCCTTGCAAGCTCCACTGGTGCTCTGCCACGGATAGTTTCCAATGGCCAAGGCATACCCCAGCACTCCACAAGCAAACAAATCAGCACCTTGCACATCAACACTCCACTCCTCTGGGGGGCGGTACATGGGCTTCCCTCGGGCTTCTCCATGCGCTGAGAAGCGACGCGGTTTCGAAGTGTCGACTGCCATGGCAAAGTCCAACAGAGCTACTGAGACCTCTCCGTCCGCCTCGATTCAGAAACAAATCACACAGGATGAGATTTCACCACGTTTAATTCGCCCCAAAACTGGTTGCAATAAAATAGAAACACATGCCTCACACAGAATCGCATTCTCCGCACTAATGTCGCCGTGGGCGATGCCCATCTGGTGGAGCTGCAGAACTACATGAACCAAAGGACGCAAGAGCTGCGTTGCCACTGCCTCTCGCGCAGGTCCCGGCTCTCCCAAGGCCGTGGCGAAGTCAAAGAGATCACCCGAGGTGGCGTATTCCATGAAAAGCATCACATCACCGGATGGATGGATGAAAATGCCATGGCACGGGAGAACTCCTGATATCTGCGAGGCGCTTCCGGGCGCGCCCAACTTCAGAGCAAGAAACATCTCCTTCCATGGATCTTCAAGTGTGTGGTTCGACTGTCGAAATTCTGCTGGGCTGTCTTTGAGATATGCCCTTGGAAAGCGTTTCACCACCACCTTCGTGCCTTCCACCAGGTCTGAATGCACTTCGATCTGAGCACGCACACCATCAGAGGCACGAAGCACATGATGGAACTCAAATCTTTCGACCTCCAGGGCACTGAAGTTCGAGATGTTGAAGGAGTCAAAGTCCTTCCAAATGTTTCCATCCAATGCATCCAGCGCATCCAAGCTCTTTCGATCGGAGATCTCGGAGATCGGTTCCGAGATCGGTGACTGGGAAACCTTGGATTTGCTGTCCTCCAACCCACTAGCGATGGCCTCCAACCTACTAGGAACCTGGAGAAAAATACCTGGATCCTCCAAAGTACCTATAGAAAATGGGACATGACCCCTTAAAAACAGGTACTTAAAATTGTACCCATTTTCCGAGGTACTTTGAGACTGCAGGTAGGAACCTGGAAAAAATACACATGCTTTATCCAGAAGGAGATTCATCCAATTCGGGAAGACAAAAACTTCACCTGCCCTAAGGATCCGCACCCTCAAAAACAAGGGTTTTGAGGGTACATGAGGGTACAAACCCTTGTGAACTAGAGGGTTCGACCCCTTCTAAGGAGGGTCCAAGGATCCTTAGGGTGATTCGCCAAACCAGGGAACACTGGTTTCCACGCCTTCGACGGACTGCCTTGGCGATACGCAAACGCCGACAAGTGCCATGGTGATACGCTGTGAAACACGAACCTCCCAGGTGTCCTCGACCAAAAGAACCACTTCACGTGATACGCTGTGAGTGTTCTGATCTGATCTGATCTCTGAAATGGCACAGTTTCTGAAATGGTTCTCCCACTCAAAACACCCATTATGTGACCCATGGACATGTTGGACACCTGGTAGAGGGTTTTTTTTCTTGCGCGCAACTTGGTCGAAGATGCGCGCGGCAAAAGACGACTATGTCACTCTGTTCCGAGTTCACATGGCTGCAGAAGTGTGTTGCGTCTGGGCGACAGACGAACATGTGCATCCTCAACAGTCGTCCCTACAGTCGTCACGGTGTAGACGCCGTGTGGGTTCAACTGCTCGTTTCGGAACAAGCACTGGGATGCCCCAAATATCCCGTCGTCTGCCGGATGGGACTCAAAAGCTCCCATATTGAGTTTTTCCGAGTCTACCTGGGCGTGGATGATGACGGTTAGTAGAGGCCGTCTGTCCAAAAGTAATGATAATTGTTTACTGACTGTTACAGGTAGGACAGACTCAAAAGCACCCTACTTGATTCTGGACCTCCACAGCTCCTGACTCGCTCGCTCGTGTCGCTGGAAGATGCAGGTGAATCTGTTTGAACCTTGTTAATGATATTTACGTTTAACTCAAACGCTCCGTTTTCGTTCACAGCCCTACTTCCGGTCCCGAACCAAACCCTAGGGATTGGTTCGAAACTCCAAACCCCTGACCCGTCCGAGGAAGCTCCGACCCCTGCCAACAGGTTCGGGGCCGAGCTCGTTCGGGTCGCGTCTGGGCAACTCAGGAAACCGTTCCCCAACACGATTTGTGCCAAACCTTCAAACTGACTCCTGGGTGGGCTCCCCAAACCGGCCCTCCGCCCCACCTCTGGGCCATGGGCGTCCTTTGCGCCATCACGCCTTCCAAGACCTGGCGACGCGACGGTTTGGACGCGTGGCACGACGCCACGCGACGGGTGGTTTCGCCCAAGCGACGGGAAAAAAGGACTGCATGGTGTTTCCCCTAGGCTCCTGGCCCACCTCCTGAGAAGATGGTTGGGGTGGGTGCCAGGGGGGTCTAACCACCGAACCTGAGGAGATGGGACAGGAGCCCTAGGGTTCATTCCCATCATAAGGGGAAAAACCAGACAAACAAACAAAACACATCACCCTGATCAGTATAAGCAAAACATTGCAAAACCGAAGGCAACCGTGATCAGTGCGCTTCAAGCTGTCCGAAAAAGCTGCGCATGTCCGAGAAGCTGCGCATGTCCTCGGCTTGTGTTTTTGGGCAGGCCTTTGGGTTTGTTGCGCAACTCAAAATGACATATATAATATTTATATAAAACACCGGATCCTTCTAAAGACTAAGTCGGGAGACCGTTTCCGAGGACCCCTGGTTCCTTTGACCTAGAAACGCTGCCTGGGATCCACTGTGAAAGAAAGACACATTGGTTTTGCCCAAACGCTTCTGGACCCGAACCGGTGTCGGACCCTCATATGGAGGGTTCTGGACCCTCGACTCAAATCCCATCAAATCCCTATGGCTTTGAGGGACCAGTCGGGCTGTGAACGGAGCGTCTGGGTGGATTGTTTTGACACATTCCAAATTTCTTCACCACCCAGCCAGCGCTGACACTCCCTGAAACGGAAGTGGACCATGGCGCACCCCGCCCCATGAGTTCACAGCCCTACTTCCGGTCCCTCAAACCCTATCGGGATTGGTGAGAACCCCCAGACCCCTCCATAGGTTCAGGTCCAGGGTCGCGTGGTCGCGTCTGGGCAAGACGAGCGCCCGTCCACTTCCCTCATCCTTCGTCCCACGTGGAATCATCTCTTGTCTCCCTACGCCTGGGCGTAGTGTAGCCAGCCACTGCAGGTGGCCAAGACGGAGAAATACAAACTTCCGACCTCACACGCGTCCGCACCAGCGTCCGCGACGGGAAGCGACCGAAGGCGACGGGAGAGTCTTCTGTGGGAGGCCTGAAGTTTTGGGGTTCACCTCCCAGTCAGGGCCATGAAACGTTTGAAAGGAGGGGTTGACCCCTGTGATTTCATAGAGGATAATTTGACATCCCGATCAGGATCCGGACCCTCAAAAAACCAGGGATTTAGTTCGGGTAATGACATACCCCTGTGATTTCACAGCAGGCTTCGGCTCCTTCGGTTCGGTGTCGGGTCCGAACTCGGATCCTTAGGGATAGAGATATTTTTTGGGGGTTCCAAGTTTGCATCAAAGGATCCTCACCAGAAAGAAGGCCAACCAAACGCTCGATGAACCTCTCGCTTGGACTCGTCGTCTCGGACTGGCCGGTAGGATGAGGGACCGGAGAGGACCTGGTGTGGTAGAACTCGACCTCACTCTTTAGGGAGTCGAACTCGTACCGAACCTCAGTGGTTTGCTATCCAGTCGTACCCTCCAAAGCTGCAAAACAGTGTCTCTTTCTTCACCGAACCTGAGAAGGTACGACTGGATCCCTCAAAACTCGCACTAGACTCCATCCTCCACCGATCTCACACTTCATCTCACGAAGTCTGAGACTCTCCTTCCAGCAGTGGTTGTGGAGTGGGGGTCCCCAGTCTCTGTAAGGAAATGTGAGGAGAGCTTCGATGTCACCCTGAGTACCCTGTTCTTTCGATAAAATCGGAGCGCACATGGAGCGCTCACACCGTGGAGCTTTGTAACACGCGCTCGTCTGGAGCCTCGGTACATGTTCTGCACAGATATATACCTGGATCTTCCAACTGTGCAGAATTTCTGCCGTTTCATCAATGTAACCAAAAAGCATAAATTTTGCACAGTTGGAAGATCTAGCATAGGTATATACCTGGATCTTCCAAGTATGCAGAATTTCTGCCTTTTCATCTATAACAAACCAGCCGGCCAAAAGGCATACATTTTGTCTATAGTTGGAAGATCCAGATATATGCAACGACATTTGGACTGCTCCACACCAGCCGATTAAGAAAGAAATGCCGCTGATTGCAGTATGTATAGACCGGCACTGTGATCTACTTTGAATGGTTGTAGGTCCGACTTTCTCTTCGTTCGGTCTTTCTCTTCGTTCGGTATGGTTACGCTATGCTTCGCTTGGTGGAACTAATGCTAGCACCGTCCGACATGGCGGCTGAGCCATGAATGCTTGCGGGAGATCCATGCAGCTCCATGTGTGCAACTCCATGAGTCTCAACTTCTCGCCTGACTTTGAAGAATCCTGAACCCCTCTATATGCACCACAGGGGGCTTGGTCAAACCCAGACACGACCCGTCTGGGACTGCCAGGACGGACTGCCGCCCCATTGACCCCTGTTCAACCACCCCTGGCCTGATCGGCAGTCCCAGACGGGTCGTGTCTGGGTATAGAACCTGAGTGACCCCTAAGAGGGTCTTTTGGCTCACCAACCACTCCAAAGAGGGTCTTCTTTCCTCTCAAAACAGGTGTCAAGTGGGTTCTCAGTAGGTAGAACATTTACGTGTATTGTTGAATGTGTGGGGTGGTCAGCCACCCTACATGTAGGCAGTCCTATGGCAGTCCCAGACGGGTCGTGTCTAGGAAATGGATCTTGAAAAGGGGGAGATGTTCCCTCAGAGTCTCGTCGATGTTCCCAATGTACACCTTCCACCCTCAGTGCGTTGTTCCTCGGACACGTCGATACGGACCCCGTTGGCTCCCCAACCGCCAAGCCGGCAAGGCGATTGCGCGGACTGCCGGCAGCCTGCGATTGGTTTGAAGCAGTCGTGCAGAATTCAGGCGAGGCCATCGCTACTAGGGTGGAGGCCATCGCTTAGGTTTGAAACAGTCTTGATGACTTCGAGCATTTTGATCTGCCAAATCTATTTAGGGAATTCTGAGGGAAAGGTCACCCATCTCGATTTGGGAGGGAAATGGTGTTCCTGGCGGTGTTCCGGCAAGGCTGGCAAATGATAGCTTGCTAAGGTTTTGTAGTGGGGTCATGGCATGCGAGGTTTCTACGCATTTATATACGGAAACAAACATCATCGAGATCAAAAGGAAAAGTATGGAAAAGTTGCAAACTGAAGTTTTTGGGCGCAAAGGCTGCAACATGTCCAAAGTATTGTTTGATGTGCGCTGGGTACGTGTTGGGAGTTGGGAGGTGGTATCATGTTGTATTACTCATCATATCATCTGGTACTTGCCAAATCCTTGGTTGGTATGCCCCAATTCCTGGACGTAGTGATGTACTTGTTCTTTTGCCAGCAGTCTCTGGTGGGGGAAGCCCACGGCTCATACAGAACAAAATCTGAAGCACGGTGCCTTGGATTTGCTGTTCCAAGGATCCAGGAATAAGAATTAACTACCCTCAGGATCCGAGTTCAGACCCTCCAAAAACGAGAGGGTCGAAGCCTGCTGTTGAACTCTGGGGTATCTGGGGCCCCGAACTAAACCATCCTAAACCGCTTAAAGCGAGGGTCCGGATGGATCAAAACACACTCCTTCAGGAACTGGGCGGTTCGTCAGTTCGGGGTTCGATCACCACCAACCCGAACGAGTCGTCCAGTTCGAGATGTCTGGACCGGCTGGAGTAGTTCGGAAGTTCCCTTTCACTCAGGTCCCCGTTCGTCAGACCGTTCTTGTTATAGTCGACTGGACTCCCAGGGCCAAGCCCAACTTCCGCCAGGAGTCGGAGTGACCGTTGTGGCGAAATCGTCACCTTTCGAACGAGCAGAAGAGCCCACAGCAACAGGGGCACCCGTTCCTCATCTTCTTGGATCCAGCGCCCAGGGAAAACGAAGGGTATGAAGGGCACGACAGACTTCGAAGGGGAAACTGTCCCGCCCGGATAGGATCCACACCCTCAAAAACCAGGGTTTAGTTCGGGGCCCCAGTTACCCCGTAGTTCACAGGGTTTGACCCCTTCGATGGAGGGTCCGAACTCGGATCCTCGATGGGCCCGAAGATGTAACACCCAGCCCCCATGGGACTGGCATATTTACCGATCAGGGGTGGTTTTAGGGGTCAATTGAGTCAATCCTGGAAACCCCAACAACCAGTTAATGGTTGTTCCAATATGGCTTGCTTGACATAGGAAATGGCTGGGACTGGGTTTCGTTGCATCCATTTCTTTCTGGTTGGGACTGGTTTCCCAGGATTGCAGCATATGCCAGTCCCAGGGAGTGCTTTGGGACCTGTGAACCTCAAAACCTGGAAAATCGTCCGGTCTGGTCCATGCGACGCCGGGTTCGGTCTCGGAAAGCCGGTTCGGTACTGGCAGTATGGATGCGGCCCCCCGACCTGATTCCACCGTGCGATCAGCGTACACCGCGCGAGGTATGACACGCCTGAGGCTGTCGCAGCTCGGCACGCTCGGCGCGATGGAGCACCCAAAGCTGATGGTGTCGGAAGTGGGGACCAGCCCAAGCCCCAACGCCAAGCCCTAAAAGTCATGGGGTCTGAACAAGAGTTTCGTGCAAATGAACACATGTCATGAGTTTCGTCCGCGATGAGTTGTTTTGATTTATCAAATACAATATTCCGTGCAGTTCCAGCACGAAAGACCGCTCCCCAACTCCCCAAAAGTTCGCAAGGAGCAGCTCCATGCTGACTCATGGTGCCTTATAGTAAGACATGATGTACGAAAAAACACTGGCCCACCCAACCCGAGCTCCCTTTTTGTCATCCTTTTTCCTTTTCCGCGGAAAAACACCAATTCCTCCGAGGACGAGCTCTCTGGCCGCACCGACAGCTGCCGCGGCAAGCGCCGCGAGGGCGACGGCTTCGCCGTCGCCGTCGCCGCGCGGCGCAGCACGCTGCGGTGCTGGGCGGCGGCGTGGGCGATCTCGGCGCGCAGGGCATCGAAGCCGAACCTGACCAGTCGCCGCGGGCGGAGGCCATCAAGGCCATGGTGGCCGTAGTAGGTTGGAGGCCATTGCTATACTAGGGGATGGGAGATAGATCGGTATGGGAACAGGGAGGATGCCAACACCGCCCCGTCTGAGTGCATTAACAACCTGTACCTGAAAGCCTGCGGAGGCTCTGGTACGCCAAGAATCCGAGCGTGAAGCAAGACATAGGGTTTGGAGGGTCCGACCCCTGCCATGGAGGGCTCAAGGATTCTTGGGTATACGGTATACGTCAAAAAGTTGTACCATCAGACTTGGTAGCAACCTTTCTAGGTGTAGCGACATCTGCAAATCAGCACTCGAAGGTCTTGTTGTGGTGGCCCAATTGGTCTTATGTTAAAGAAACAGCTGATCTACAATTGAATTTACTGATTTGCAAAGGAAACTCTGATGGTTTACTATATAGTCCCTTCCATCATTCGTATGTTGAACAGGCAGGCATTTATCAGAAACACACTCCGACTCCAGCTTGTTGGTTTGCTACTATCCCCGCAGTTCCGAGCAAAAGGGCTCACATAACACAAGAGACTGCCCTGACAATAAAAGATCTCGCGCATCAGACCATCCCCCAAGTTCACGAACAACTGCACTCGCAACGTCCCTGTTGAGGAAGCCCTGATCTTCCATGCCATCTCCGTTGTCAAACAGAAGGGAAGGCCCTAGCCTTCCAAGATCCTTGAAGAAAGGTTGGCCTAGGTTTGCAGTCTAAAATCCAACCAGTTGAAGACAACGGGGTGTTCTTCGGGACAAATCATCAACCCTATACCAGGACCGACACCGTTCGAGGTGTCTATACATAGCCTCTTAGTGGCTAAGGCAAGGGGCGTCCAGAAACCGACGAACGGAAGGGTGCTGGTGGGCTCCCAGTATTTGGGACATGTTGGGACAGGTTGAGAGGCCTGTTCCGAGAAGGGACGAGATCGGCAGACCAGTGTCATGCCCACCGAAAGGTTCAGACAGCTCCTGGAGTCACTCTTCCCGAACCCCCTCAGCTTCCCTGGAAGATAGAGAAGTATGTACCCTGGGAGTCAAAGACTATACAAAGATTGGTCTTTAGGGGACCTGAGTTCGGGAACTTCCTTTACTTCAGACGGTGAATATATAGTCTTTGGACTTCTAGGGTATACCTGGACCCGACTGACCCAGTACCTTAGAAAATGGGACATGACCCCCAGGTACCATCTTGTACCCATTGTCCGAGCTACGAACTGAGACGGATCTCAGCATAGGACACGTCCCCCACTACTCCCCCGTCCCGGGGTGCGGTTGGGCCCCGATTCTCTGGTCCCGAATCGTCCCGCCACGAGACCGGTGCAGTCCAATCGCCCCGTTGGGGACACCCACGCTCCTGTGGGCGCGACGGGGCAAGGGCTGCGGCTTCTTGTCCGGAAGCTGTTGAGATAAACTTCGCTTCAGCTCCTGGGAACAGACAGGAAAGCAGGTGGACATCCCAGGAGGCTTCCTGTTCAGTGTCATGCAGACTGAGATCAACATCTCATACTGGGTTTCTTGATTATCCTTGCATGATGGCATGTTGCCTTTGGGTGAGTCCAGGCTGGTCTAGTACCTATATCAAAATGGGTTGGATGAGCCAATGATTTCAACTGAAGGCCTTTTGGCCAAGATTCCATCTCTTTACCTATTGGAAGGGGCTGGGACGCCTCCAAGCCCTGAGAAAAAGAAGAACTGCTGGAGAGGCCCCTGGCATGAAAACAGGCTGTTGTCGTTGGCAACTTTCTCGGGCGGAGCGAGCCATCTGTATGCTGTATATACCCTAGCCGCTTAGCCTTTCAAGACGATCAAAAAAATACGTTGAGCCGGTGTTGTAGTCTAAACCCCGTCGTAAAACCAAGGTTCTTCGGGATTCCAAACAGAAGGCTTTGAACAAGTTGAGATGATGTGGATGATGGGCTTCAAAGTCAGCATTAAGTCGGCAGTGGATACCATGCAATAAAGGAGCCTGGGGGTACCTTGAGGGGTCTCAAAAGGGTGTGGCTAAAAAGACCATCTTGAATCCCGAAATCTACGATGTCGCAACTTTCCTCAGAGCTTGGCTGTCCTGTCCTTAGATCTCCTGCGGGTTTAACCTTTGGGGTTGGTAGTAAAAACCCTGAAGCAAAGGAGCTAAAGGTCTAAGCTCCCTCCCCATCAAAAGTGTCTATCTACAGCCATGCTCTTGATAACCCAACTCATAATAATCAATAGATTTGGATCTCAGTTGTAACTCTAGACAAGACTGTATACACACTAGTTTTTAAAGACAACTTTAAGAAAGGTTCTAAATCTTTATCAACAGTCCACCTTCAGTGCTGCGAAATACGAGGCGTTCTTCAGTTCATCGGCGAATGTTCCAGGGCCCGGTTCACCCAAGTAACTACCCAAACCTCCGTGAAAACAGGCCGACTGGTCCCGAAGCAGGTCGACCACCCTGGGACGGTCCAGTCGACCATGTTGTCAAACGCGAGTCGACCAGGTCATCCGAGTTCAGGACTTCCTTTACTTGCCCTGGGAGTCAAAGACCATAAAAAGAATGGTCTTTAGGTGACCCGAAAAGGATTTTCCTTTACTTCAGTCAGTCAACATATAGTCTTTGGACTTCTAGGGCTTGGGTGGTGCTGGAAATCAGTCTTTGGACGTACTGGCATAGGGCGGGATTTGAGGGTCCGGTTTCTTTACAAGACTTGAGGCGAAGTCTTCGGGTCAGTTCCGCGTCTGCATGGTTAACGAGATCAAGGTGAAAACCACTCCGTCTATCCGAAAACCACTCCGAAAACCACCGGTCCAGGGAGCGGTACTTGAACTTTGGTATCTTTGGTCCACGAAATGGACCGCAAGAGATCAGTGCGTCCTCTTCTTCGTTACTTTTTTCAAACATCAGGGCAGCATAGAGGCATAGAGGCCATCGATGACAAGGTGAAGAATACTCAATCAATAACAAAGGAAAGAGGTCCAAGGTCTTTCCTTCGTCCACTCGTTCTCACGATATAACCCGTCACTGTGACACACCCCAATCGCTCCGTGGCTTGACGCGCCAGCGCCATCTCCCGCACCGCGATGGGCTCAATGGGCGGCGACCGCGCCGGCGACGGCGCCGGCGACGGCGCCCGCGCCGGCGTTCCCAGCGTTCGCAAGCGCTGGGCCTGTGGCGTCGCGGAACGCAGGACTGTCACACGAGCACAGGCTGCTGCACATGGATGTTGGTATGATCCGGGTTAATGTCTCTTAAAAGCTGAAGGTATCTCTTCCCCGAAAAAAAAAAAGAAAATAAACACAAAAAACTCATGGTATGGACATGGACCCTTCCAAACAAAAAGAAACAGGCCCCTAGGCTTCCTGGCCCACCATTGATGAAATCACCTGAATCCAGGGCAACCATAGATCTACAAAACCCAATAAAGCGACTTGGCGTCCAGCGTCTTCTCGACCTGGCGCCCGGATCCGCCACAGGATCGAAGGCGAACCGCCCAAGACTTCCCGGCGATGTGTTACTAGCCCTGGGGCTCCTGTCCCATATCCTCAGGTTCGGTGGTTAGACCCCCCTGGCACCCACCCCAACTATCTTCTCAGGAGGTGGGCCAGGAGCCCTAGGGTAGAGTAGCGTCCAAACGCTCCGTTCGTACTAAGGCCAGGAGGCTACTGCTATTGGCTTTCGCGATTCGCACACTTCGCTCCGTTCATTACGTAGCGTTGGATCCAGCCCCGAAGATCCGGACCAAGAACGCTCCGCAGCGGTCACGCCTGGTAATATATGTCCACTCGACTCAGGGGATTGACTCAAATTCTTTGGAAAATTGAAACATCCCTGGACCATCCAGTCGGGGTGCCCTGTCTGGAAGCCTAGGCCGGTAGTGTGGGGTAGTCCAGCCAGGACACCCCGACAGGAGGGTCCAGGTCATCCTTTCTTCGCAAAACCAGGTAGAGAGCTCTGGCCGAGGTTGACCTCTCCGTGGCAAGTCTCGCCAAACATGAGTCTGCAGCACTCGCTCGCAGTACGTTCAGAGCCGGTGCGTCTGCGCCCTCTTGTTTTGCTACGGTGTGTATGTGTCGGTTTTTTCCTGTTTGTTTTTTTTCTATCCTTGTGGGGGGGGACCTTAATTTGGTTCTTGACAATTTGATTTTCTTGCTAAGGTTCCACGTTTTGGACATAAACACAATTAAGTGGAATCCCTTGGAAAACAAAACACAAAAGTCTCCAAGATTCAGAACATAAAGCGCTGATGATTCAAAACTGCGTGTTCAGCTGCAAGTTTTTGAGGGTTTTGCCAAGCAAGGAGTTCATGTTCCAGGCCAACAATTTCCCAAGAGTTTCCTTAGTTCCGAGTCGACGCCAATCACACCAGCACCCCACCTCCTCCACTCTGTGGCGCGCCGCAGCAGCCGAAGCAGCTCGTGCCCGTTCCGCCGCGGTCTGCGTTTGCGCAGCGCTCAACTCATTTCCTCGGCGTGGAACAGCGCCACAGCCGAGTGGCACGTGCTGTTGACACACTGTGTTGTCTGCATGGCATGGATGTTTGAAGTTTGTGGATGCCAAGAAATTAATGACAACCGCGGTACTTGCAGCAAATGAAACAACAAGTGACTGCAGCACCTCTGGACCTTTCGGCCAAAATCTTGTAGCCCCAAGCGAATTGAAAACCAAACACCAATCCCAAATTTTCGCGGTGGGGAAAAGCTCTGACGTAAACATCGGATGCCTTTCTGCTTTCATCACACGACCAAGAAAAAAACTAAGTAACTAACTAACTAACTAACCAACTAACTAACTAACTAACTAACTAACTAACAACAACAACAACAACCACAGCCACAAGCAAAACCAACAACCAACAACCAACAAACAACAACCAACAACCAACAACAACAACAACCAACAACAACGACAGCGACAGCGACAGCGACAACGACAACAAACAACAGCCGACAACGACGACAACAACAACAATAACAACAACAGCGGCAGCGACAGCGACAACAGCAATTTAAGAACAAAAGCCATGATCATGGGACCTGCCTCGTTTGACCAAGCCTTTGCAGGACGGTTAGTGGTGGATTCCCATGCTTTATCGAAAAACGAAGCGCACACGATCCTGCTTCGAACGCATGCAGGACTGCATGGCCCCTGTGCACATGGAGCTGCACGCAGATACCAAAGCACATCGCGCGTCTTAACCTGAACTTTTGGCCACGTCTGGTCGGCCGTGCGTTTCCCCACCGCGTGGCTCTTGCGTAGGTGTCGCGTCTCCAAGTTGAAGGCACACGTCAGCAAACAGGGTGTGTAGCCAAGCCTGCAAGTAACTTGTTTCATTGATCACAAGGTCAGCATGGTTTGCGGCTCCTATTGAAGAAGGTGTGCTAGGATTGCAGTTCATTGCGGCACCACACTGGCTCTACAACCTCCTCGGCCCTCAACATTGTTGCGACAACACTGGGCCATTTCAAGACGGCCAATGCGCTTGTAAGCATGCCGTTGTCAAAGACAGCAACCGAGCCAACTGATGAGATTGTAAGCACGTGATAAGTCGTAAATTGTTCAAATAACGTCAATTTTTTTGTGAAGAGTCAGCACTTGCTGGCATCACATCAGGATAGCCCAGTAGGTGCTAAGCATCTATTTACTCGTAGACTTTGTTGTTGTGGTGGTGATAGCCGGAGTAGGCAGTAGGTTTGTAGACGAAGAAGAAACAGGTGGTGGCCGTGGTAGTGGTGGCGGTAGTAGTTTTGTAGAAGCGATCGTAGTCGTAGTCATAGTAGTCGTAGTAGTCGTCATCGTGGTGGTAGCAGTGGTACGGTAGTTAGCAGCAGCAGCAGCAGCAGCAGCAGCAGGAGTAGGAGTAGGAGTAGTAGTAGTAGCAGCAGCAGTTGTTGTTGTTAAAGTCATAGTATAGTAGCTACAACAAGAAAGTTCTTGACGCAGTAGTTACAATTGTAGCAGCAGTAGCACTAGTCACTAGTAGAAAGAGAAGCAGTAGCAGTAGCAGCATTTTTTCAGCAGTTCAAGATTGAAAAAAAAACTATATTATACATGCATATACAGTATAAATATAAATATATATATAAATCTCTTCTTTCCAGACATCAGGGGGCTAGTTCTTCACACGAGCCTAGAACTGCCACTTGCCCGCACCAAAAGGACTCAACCCAGTCTATTTGAGTAACTATAGCCACTCGTCGATGAGCAAATCTAAATGACCTCTTAGATGATTGCCAACCCGAAGGATCCGAAGGACCCTTCAGGACCCGAAGCAACTGCTACATGCTGCTACTTCGCAGCGAAGTCGTCCAAAGTCCACAGTAACCCGACAGCGAGTTCGGGGTGGGCAGGTCCGAGCTGTTCCGCCAACCACCTCCATCGTGCCATCCGCGCGCGAGCCATCCGCCCACCGTGCTCTTGCCGGAGCCACGAAAGAGCTCCTCGCGCTTCGTGGCTGCAGCACGGCACAGGTCCAGCTCGGCCCTCAGCGGAGGAGTTTCCGACCACCCCCCACAACCTGTGGACCCGAATCCATACCACCCACGGATGGACCACGCTGATAGTCAGCATGGCGATGGAGTGGCAGATATGGCTCCTCTGCACCGAGTCCTTCGGCCAATCGGAGAGGGAAGTCGTCCTTCCCTTTCATAGAAACTCCCACAGCACGATCGCGCATTTCCAAAACAAGACGCTCCATGCATGACTCTTGACTGTATGATCCCTACTCCTTAGGAGGGGGGGACCACCAAAAATGTAACTTGCATTTTCTGGGCAGGGGGTGCCTGAAAATGTAAATTTTACATTTTAGGGCTATTTATTATCAACAAAAATGCAAGTTACATGTTTGAGGTCAAGCATGGCTTGAACAATTGGGAACAGGACGTACAGGGTGGAACAGGCACGCACTCTCTTGATCCGTGAAACACATCGAGTACGACCCACCTGTCAACTCTGTTCTTTCTTTCTTCCCTGTCCTTTTCATGTCCTTCTTTTCTTTCCTTTCCCTTCTGTTGCTTTCTCATAATATCTCATAATACAATTGGATTTCAAGTGTTCCAAAGTGTCCTGAGGCGTCCTGATATGCAGAGTGTCAAAGAAATCAAGTTACAATTAACCCCCCTCCCTTTACACCCTTTTCCAGGGGGGAGGGTGTCCAGAAAATATAACTTGCGACCTTGGAGGTAGAATCTTACATTTTGGGGGGGGGAGGTCCCCCCTTATTTTCACGACCTCAATAAATGTAACTTGCATATTTCCTGGTCCTACCCCCCCCCAAGAAAATGCAAGTTACATTTTCAGACGCCCCCCTTCATTTCCAAGGGGGAAGGGGTAGTGATACTGTATGGCATATGTAAAATATTTACGGTGTGGCTTCAGGAGTCAATTGGGCCCGGTAGATATTGCATGGATGGACCGTCAGGAAAATAGCCCACAAAACGCCACACACTGCCGAGGATCTTCTCCTCTTTGGCCAGGGACTCCTCATGAAGCAGCTTCTCTCGCTGGCTGGCAAAGCCTCCTGAACAAACAGTGATTTGCCGTATGTTGCGTTCGTTCGGATCCCTCTATGCCATATAAATACGTGGAACTATACGTGGATCTTCCAACTGTGACAAATGTCTGCCTTTTCATCCACAAAAATCCGACGAAAGGGTAGCACAAACATGAAGGGGTGGCACAAAAATGCCCATCAAACATGAAGAGCCCCAATAGACGGCGGTCCGAGAATCAAAACACTTTTTTCCTAAAGCTATCAGGTTTGTCACAACTGCCAAGGGACTCAGGGATCTTTTTCTGATCTCCATGCACATGTTTTTCTTGTCTGGATTGAAGCTCCAACATCTAAATCATCAACCAAAAGCGCCACCCGAACTTCCTACTCCGTGCACATGCTACGAAGACGTGCAAATGATTCGATCCTGAACGGCCTGAATGGCCGAACCACCAACCCCTAAAAAGATTGTCATGTCCTTTCAAGACAGGTTTCGGTCGGTTTCCTCCATGTGCAGCTGAAATGCGGAAGATGATACTACAAGTATCCCCTAGGCTTCCAACAACCATTAATTTAATAGGCTGACTACCCAATCAACTAAGGATTTTACAATACAAAAACCAGGTCGTTCCCATTGTTTGAATGGTCGAACGGAAGTCTAGGGTATCTGTTCCATCCATCTGAGTCTTGATGTGCGGAGCACGCACGCACATGTCGATTTTTCTAAACAGACGAGACACTGACAGAGAGATGCCGAGACCAAAGCAGTGGGTCGTGGAATCCACTAGATGGGTAACCACTGGGGTGGGTGAGTGAGTGAGAGAGTGAGTGAGTGATCCAGTTGGAGAACCCTTGGAAAGGCGATGAGGATGCCTCCAACCTACTTGCTAGTAGGCCTCCAACCGAAGAGCGATGGCCTCCAACCTAGTAGCAATGGCCGCTTCCAACCTATCAGCGATAGAATATTCTATATCAGTATCTGGACAGGTTCAAACTTCAAAGATTTACAGGTTGATACCACCTAGGCTGATATTTCACTCGATTTCCCCGGACTCCACCGAGATGCTCTGCTCTTCCTTCAGCGCGTGCGACGTGAGGCGTGCGACAGATTCCATCGATGAGGCTGCCCTCCTCAGTGTGGCCAGCTCATTCGGGGTTGTTGGGGGTCTGATCAGTTGAGGTGATGAGGCAATGCTTTGAGGGAAGACATGGATGGTATACATGGATGGTCTGGGAATGGACTACCACCTCTGGATCTCCATTGAACACAGGAAGTTCCAGGTTGGAAAGCCTTCCCATTGGGGAAACCCACGTGAATTAAGCTGATATTGGCAGAAAGCCTCGTCTTTCGCAACACCATGTTCGCGACCAACCCGCATAGAAGCTTTCGTGTCTTCACGTGAAGAGTCCAAAGGAGCGGCGACCGACAGGTCTGACTGTCTGAAACACATGGATTCCTGGATGGCATGGCCACTGGGAAGACCAAATCCGAATACAACTGCAGGTGGAGTTCACTCCACTTCCATGTTGGTAAGTCGGAGGGTATGTCCCAAATCTGGGTGACACCAACATCCTGGGAAATGTTGCTGGCTTGTTTCCCAACCTGCACTTGCCTGCAGCAGCAGCCCTCATGAAAAGAGCAACCCGCAAAACGCCACACACTGCCAAGGATCCTCTCCAGTGACTCCTCTTTGGCCAGCCATGTCTCCCATTGCTGTGCGAAGGCTCCTTGGCTGTGATGAGAAACGACATTGGGAAGTACACCAGATTGACTGACTCTAAGTGCCCACAAAACCAGTCGACATACAACATACATCACCATTACCAGGTCTTGGGTCTATCCTAATACCCAGGGCGCAGTGATTGATGGTGGTTCAGTTGCAGGCCTTGTTCCAAACCCAATACATCACCGTAGCCAGTCCATGTCTGTTTCAGACCAAGTCATGGGCAAGTCGACCACCGCACGTCTTCCAATTCGCCACGTCGACCACCGCGGGAACGGTGCTCCGTGCTGCCGTGTGAGGCCGATCATGGTGGTTTGATCATGTGTCATCCTGGTCACATGTTCCTTTGGGTAGCCCTGACACCGCAAAGCCGCCGTTCACCTCCAGGGTGTTGGAGTTGGTTTCCAAGACTGCGTTCCCCAAATGCTGTCGGAACTTGCATAGTTCCCACAGAATGCGGCCTGACTTGTCCAGCAAAAAAAACAAAAAAAACATAGAGGGAGGTGTTTTGCCAGAAAGTTTGTAGCCCATTCTCCAGACAGTCTGAACTCGCCACAGTCTTTTCAGACGTCCGACTTCGATCGGAAAGGTTCCGGGATCGGAAGAACATGCACCCAGGCTCAGGGAACATGTATACCATCCTATAGCACAAACCAGCGTATAGATCTTCATTGAACCCAAATCACTCGCTGCCATGACCCATGGCAGCCCAGGGGCCCTCATCCTGATAGGTCTTGACCCATGGACATGGGGGGGCGTCTTGTTGTCCGTTCATGGTCAACTGGATAGTCTACCGGTCCCATCCGTCTCAGCCGAGACGCTTTGCTCGTCCAAAAGCTCGTCAGTGAGACGTGCGACGTGCTCTTCGACCGGCGTCTTTTGGGCCGCCCTCCTCGGTGTCACCACTTCCGCCGGTCGAAACGTCCGTTGACTCGAAGACCAATTGACAAAGCAAGAAAGCCCAAAAGTGAACATGGAAAAGAACATTTGATTAGTTTTGTTGGCATGTGTCACTGGAAACATACTCAGTGGTGCCAATTGCCAGGAGACATGCAATGTTCCATGTGCTGTTGTATGGTTGTTCGTTGGCAAGAAAACAGCCCAAAACCCTAGAACCCATTTGTCTGAACCAATTCAATGGGGTACAATAGCAGCCATACAGTAGAGCGTAAGTAGACCCACAGCCATAGCTGCCAAGGATCTTCTCCTCTTTGGCCAGTGACTCCTCATGAAGCAGCTTCTCTCGCTGATGTGCGAAGGCTCCTGGTGACGAATGTGACATGTCTCATCCAGTTGAGAAATTCGGAGCATACAGTAGTTTGTGAAAACACACCAGTTTGAGAAACACTCTTGTTGATTGTTCTTCTTGAAGTTGACACTAAATTATGCCAATCCGGAATGAGCCAAGGTGCTTTGCTCTTCCTTCAGCTCTTTCTGAAGTGCCAGGGTTTCCACCTTCTTTGAGGCCGCCCTCCTCAGTGTCAACACAACTGGTGGAAACCTAAGCGTTGATCAAACAAGGACGGCACAAAAAAAGGAAACAATAACGTGAAAACGGTTAGTAAAGACAATTAAACTCGCGTTGTTCAACTTTGTCAATGGGAACATACACAGTGGCATTAAGTGCATGCTTAACCGCCCACGCATGTACGAAAACTAGCTGGCCAGGAGGCACTTATGTTTTTTGCAAGGTTGTTCGCTGGCAAGAAAACGACCAAAATGCCTAGAACCATGTGTCTGAAACAGCACAATGGTGTACAATAGCAGCCCTATAGTATAGAGTAGGTAAAACCACACAGCCATAGCAGCTAAGGATCTTCTCCTCTTTGGCCAGTGACTCCGCATGAAGCAGCTTCTCTCGCTGATGTGCGAAGGCTCCTGGTGACGAATGTGACATTTCTCACCCATTTGGGAATTTCGGAGCATACAGTAGTGTTGATTGTTCTTCTTGAAACACTAAACCATTCCAATCCGGAATGAGCCAAGGTGCTTTGCTCTTCCTTCAGCTCTCGCTGAAGTGTGAGGGTTTCCGCCTGCTTTGAGGCCGCCCTCCTCAGTCTCAACACAACTGGTGGAAACCCTAAGCGTTGACCAAACGAAACAATAACGTGAACACGGTTGGTAAAGACAATAAAACTCGCTTTGTTCAACTTTGTCAGTGGGAACATACACAGTGGCACTAAGTGCACGCTTAGTTGAGCAACCGATAACCGCCCGCGCATGTACGAAAACTAGCTGGCCAGGAGGCACTTATTTCTTTTGCAAGGTTGTTCGCTGGGAAGAAAACGACCAAAATGCCTAGAACCATGTGTCTGAAACAGCACAATGGTGTACAATAGCAGCCCTATAGTATAGAGTAGGTAAAACCACACAGCCATAGCAGCAAAGGATCTTCTCCTCTTTGGCCAGTGACTCCGCATGAAGCAGCTTCT